TTCACGACTTGGGAAATGCGACTTTTCCCGACTTGGGACTTGCCACTTTAACGTCTTGCGACTTTTCGCGTCTTGGGACTTGCGACTTGGGACAAAATTCTCCCCACCTCATGCCATGCAGAACCGGTCGCTGTCGGACTGTATCTGATGTAGCGTCTCTGACGAACGCGGTCTTTGCCTCACACGGTTGCGACAGACACCACATAAGGCAGAGACCGAGAAGGGCTGAGACACGGTTGATACACCGAGTCCTGCAGAGGCCGGTTGCTGCAGACACCGCGGCAGATGGAAAACGGGTGAGAGAGAGTCCGAGTCCGGCAGAGACAGAGTGAGGCATCCGCCGAGGCTGGCATGCATCTGTTGGGGAGAGTTTTGAAAGAAATTTGAAAATTTTCAAAATTTTCGAAAAATCAAAAAATTCTGGAAATTGTCTGAAAAGCGCACAAAACCAAAAAAATTGAAAAACATAACACTAAAATCTTTTCAAAATTTCAAAACATTTTTGGTTTAGTGCGCCTTTCATTCAATTTCCAGCATTTTTTGATTTTTCGAAAATTTTGAAATTTTTTTCTAAAATCTCCCCAAGAGAAGGCTTCCAAACTCCGTGAATGCCTCTGTCTCTGCCGGACTCAGCCGCTATCACACCCGGTTGCTGCCTGCACCAACCGGCCTCTGCAGGACTCGGTATCTGCTATAGTCTGTGTCTTACGTGTTACCTGCCGCACCAGAGCTGTTTAGAGACGGCAAGTCAGAGCCGTGTCATACAGAGGCCAGTCCGAGCAATCATCGAGTCATGCACAAACCGCATTCGTCAGAGACACAGTACATCAGAAACAGTCCGACACAGACCGGTTCTGCAAGGCATCAGGTGGGGGAATTTTGAAAGAAATCAAAAATTTTAAAAAATCCAAAAATGCTGGAAATTATCCAAAAAGCGCACAAAATCAAAAAGATTTGATAAATATCACATTAATTTTTTTCAGAATTTTCAAAAATTTTTGATTTTGTGCGGCTTTCAGACAATTTCCAGCATTTTTTGATTTTTCGAAAATTTTGAATTTTTTTTCTAAAATCTCCCCAAGAGAAGCCTGCCAAACTCGGTGAATAAATTTTAATGTGTTTTTTGCATATCTATATCGTAGGGAGGCTCTTTATTATTATTGTAAAAACACAGCCAGGAAAGCATGCATGTAGCTTCTATCAATTTTTTCTAAGTCCAGACTGAGCACTGAATGCATGGCTGTATGTATGTATGTTTATATTATTATAATATATATTAATTATTTATATACAGGTGTCCCAGGAGGAAAGATCAATATTCTGGGAGGTCATAGTATCGGTCATTCTAAGCAAAAAGTTGTATATGCACATGCGACCTATTCTGAACGGTTTCCGAGATAGAGCTATTTCACTGTACAGTAGTTTGAATTTGGCGCCCAATATTGTCCTTCCCTATTGGATGTTATCGCCCGCACAAACGAACGCCAAGATGAACTCAGACGAACAACGCGCCATGTCCTCACACGAGTTGCAAAGTGCATTGATGTTGACGGTGGAATTTTCGAAAATGTATTATACTAGGTAAACTGTACCAACTTTGTCACGTTAACAATAAATACTGGTATTAGAAACAGTACGTAATATCTGTTTCTTATCGACAATTTTGCAACTGTACAGTGAAATAGCTCTATCTCGGAAACCGTTTGGAATAAGACACATGTAAATATACACTTTTTTGCTTAGATTAGCCGATACTATGTCCTTCCAGAATATTGACCTTCCCTCCTGGGACACCCTGGATAAACATTTATATCATTCTGCTTATCCTACGAATTTTTATTAACTTTAAAAAAATATATTACTGATCTTAGGTGGACTTCAACCACCGAACCTAGGATTCACTGGCTAGCATGATAGCCACTACACCACGGAGGATTATAAGAGGTATTGAATTGAAACTATTATATCTGCACTGAGAGAAGAAAGTTTTTATTTCACTTCCATTTGCATTCAGTACACTTCAATTTACAATATATAATATACAATCCCTTAAAATATTTTCTCCCTCTGAAACACAATAAAAACTCCATCCGTTATCCTCTTTTGAGCATCCCAACAATTACTCCATTCACACCCAGAAGAAGGCAATGGCAAACCACTTCTGGATCATCTGCCAAGAACGTATATGAACAGGTCCCAGTCCGAGAAAAGGATGGAAGGATCCTGTTCATATGGACCTGTCGTCAGACAGAACACTAAATAATAATATATCCAGTAACTGGAGAATATACACTAACGTAGAAACTCTCAGAATAAAAATGAGTAACTGGAGAATTGTTCTTAACGCCGTGTTTACTGGTCCACCAGTTAACAAGGCATAAAAATACATGAAAATATTTGCATTATTGTCACTATTAATAAAATACCCCGCTCCTAAATGCCTTCATTACCACCACCACAGTATATCACGTGACCCGACGACCAGCCTTGCAGTTATAAAGCACTAAATCTCCCTTTAATTAACCATCGCACCCACAGACCCCTTTCCCATCATCAACCGGCCCAACTTATGTAACACTCCATCTGATACAAAAATACCAAAATGTTTGTCGCAGTTGT